TTAGCTAGTCAGTTAAAAATTAATAAAGAGAAAACTACCATATCTGCTGTTAAAGACTCAACCGGGAATATAGTTTATGACCCTGAAAGCATAAACAACACCTTCAGAGACTTTTACCAAACTTTGTACTCACCACAGATAAACCCATCAGATAACGAGATCAATGAGTTCCTGGTGGTGCCTCGATTAATTAATATAAGATTATAAACAAGCTAAATCTACGCCACATTTGAAATATAGATATAAATCTAGATTTATCGCTACATGTTGCTAAATTCACAGTTGTGTTTCACAATTGTGAAAATGTAACTATTAATCTATTCTTACTGAAATGCCAGCTGTTTAAACATTTCAACAGCCTAGTTTTTAAACAATGTTCAAAGATTTCTGTTTTCTGCTGTTTAGCGTTTTTCTCTCCATTCTTCACCTATATTTTGAGCTTTATTACACTTGTTGATTTTTGCTTCTAAATCTTTAAATACATTCAGCTCATTTTGAGAGTTTAGCTTAGTTTCAGCTTCACTTCAGCTATTCAGCAGCTTCAGCAATCAGTTTCTGAATTCAGCATATGCTGCTAATTTCACATTTTAGCTAAATGTAAAAATTTCACTATTAAACTAGGCCTACTCAAATAACAAGTGTTTAGACATTTTAGCTGTCCAGTTTTTTAAAAATGTTCACAGATTTCAGTTTTCTGCTGTTTTTATTCTCCATTCTTCACTTACTTTTTGTGCTTTATTTTCTTGTTGGTGATTTTGCTTCTAAATTTTTTAAATAAATTTGCTCAATTTCCTGTTTCTCTTTATCGTTTATTATTCTGCTTCCATACATTTTTTGGCACTTAACTCATTCCACAATTCTTCAGCTATTTACACAATTTCGGTATCAAAATTATGCATGATGGCGTCGCAGATGGCAGCCTCGGTACATTGCTCTCTTTTGTTTGTGTTGTTTTTGTATTTTTTTTGGAAATCAGCGACGCAAAACAGATTACCTTCAGTAGAGATGAACTACTGTGTATCAGGCAACAAACCACAGAGACGGATTTTCAAAAATTTGAGGACCCGGGGGAGTTTATTGGAAGTTTTGATCGGAGGTACTGCTGTTTGTTGGAGAAGGAAGCGCAGGGGGGGTAAACGAGTAGGAGCGCTGGTGAGACTCCGCCAGCGGGGATTTCGTATGCCTCTCCCAGCAATACACCAGTTTTTCATTTTGGCCCAGTGTGAGTTTGAGTTCGACACCCCCGTCATAGAGAGAGTTAAATTGCACAACCACATCGTTTGTAGTATATTAATGCTTTTCTCAAAAACGGTAGGTTTTTTTGTCAGCTTCGAAAAGATATCAGAGATTTTGTGCTCCGATCGCCTTCAGACAGCTGAAATCTTGTCATAGCTTCTAGAAAATTCAAGGTAGGTACAGAAAAATTGCCGCCTGGACCACCAGGAGAGGATGTGCGGCTTTTAAAAATACAAACTCGACTTGCTCTGTGGTTTCTGGGTCATCGGATCTAGCTCACAGAAGCCTGCATGAGCTCCAGAACCGAATGACAGGCATCTCTTTCTCTCAACTCAGCAGGCCACTCGAGCGAGATTTCTAGGTTGGAATCATATCATAACTGCTGCGGACCTTCAGGAGAGGATCATGCACGGCTTCTAAAAATCCCAGCTAGACTGGCTTGCTGGTGTCTGGGTTAGATCCAGCTCACTGAAGCCCGCATGAGCTCCAGAACTGGATGACAAGTGTCTCTCTCCCTCTCTAAGCTAAACTACGTTAGGTGAACGGATATTAACGAGTTTGAGACAGCTGACAGGCGCTCATTAGTATTAATATTATATTAACTGACTGATAATATTTTAACTGTCTGGTACATGATAGTAATCTGTACTATATTGGGATGCTAGCACACGAGTGTAAGCTTACATGGATAACTCACAAGCTGCTCCCCCGCTGCTTCTCCACAAACTCTCTGCTTCAGCTGATGGTTTCTCCCTCTGGTTTGTCTCTGCTCTCTGGGGCATGCAGCAAACTCATAACTTTATAATTGCACTTATGATGGACTAAAACCATAAACATTTAAAACTTGCTCTGTGTCAGAGCTGCATTAGTGTGGCAGCTAAGTGCAACTTACATTAAATGTAATATTTCAGCCCAAAACCATAATTATATCTCCATCTTCAGGTTAAAAACTCTGCTCCACATTAATGTAGAACCAGCTGTGGCTGATGGCTAAGCTAAAAAATGTGACATTATCAGCAAATTACTATGTGGCTGCACCACATGGGTCTCCAGGTGAGGCAGCCACCTGGCTCAGCCATTTACCTGCCAACATTCAATTCAATTGAATTCAAGTTTATTTATATAGCGCCAAATCACGACAAGAGTAATCTCAAGGCACTTCACATAATAAAAATTCCAATTCAGGTCAGTTCATTAAGCCAATCAGAAATAATGTTTCCTATATAAGGAACCCAGCAAATTGCATCAAGTCACTGACTAGTGTCAGTGACTATACAGCAATCCTCATACCAAGCAAGCATAAAGCGACAGTGGAGAGGAAAACTCCCTTTTAACAGGAAGAAACCTCCAGAGAATCCTAGCTCAGTATAAGCAGCCATCCTCCACGACGCACTGGGGATCGAGAAGACAGAGCAGACACACACACACACAACATGACTCGCTGGTATGGAAAGCCAAAACCGCCAAAATACACCACTTTCCCAACCCGTCTAGTTAAGAGATGGCGAAAAAAATGCCGTTTGATGTGTCAAGACGTTGTAAAATACGGCGAAAACTCTCCCAGAACGCCGTATTTGACGCCAGCTAGAGCCGTTCTTAACGGTCCCGTAGAACGCCCGTAAGAAACGACGTTTTTTTCCAGACATTGAACGCCGTTTTTTACGTCACCCTAATCCCAGACGCCTTCCCTGTGTGGGTGGCGTAAAAAACGGCGTTTTATACGGACATTGAACGTCGCTTTTTTCGCCACTCTGTGCCATAAAACGCCGCTTTTAACACCACTTTGTGACAGTTTTCACGCGTTTAAAATTCAACGTTACTCTCATTTATGCAGAGCCCTCCCCATGGGTTTCTCATCCACTTAATTTAAACTCCAGTGACCCAATGAAAGAAGAGGAGGTTGAGGCAGCACTAGTTCATCCCAGATTCGCCAGGCTGCAGAGGTTGCTGCAGACTACTGTTTTCTAATACAACTCTGCTCTGTTTCAACTAATTTCACTGTATAGATAAAGCCTTGAAATGTTGTAATATTATCAACAATGTGTCAACATTATTATTTTTTCTGTCTACCTGTAAAAGGCAGAAACGCAGTTTCAGTCAGACCTGATGATTACTTAAAAGTGTGGCCACTAGATGGTGCCACATATCAGTCTGTCCTCGTTTCGTGGCTCGTGAGTCCAGCTGGAACATCAGTGCTCTTTCTGTCCAAAACTCCCTGAGGATGTTCTGTCTTGCTTCTCCATCATCACTTTCCAGATCCTCAGACCAGCCACTCCAGAACCTTCCCAGATCCAGGATCAGAGCACTTTAATAAAAGTTTGAAACATGTCTGCTTGTTGTTCTCCTATAGAAGCCTTAAATTAGAATTTGCTAATGAGCTTTCTTGGCTAAAATATGCTCTTGAATGTTTTTATTTACATAAATATTTCAAGAAAAACGTTTTTCATTGCTGCTTCAACAAGACATGACTCTGAAAATGTCCTCATGATCCTGAAACGCTGGTTAAAACAAATTACTTTCAACCTCTTATAAAACAAACGTGTCTGTTGATGATAATAACCACCACAATACTGAAGCACCTGCATACTTGCCACCGATTTGCTAACTTTCTGTAATATTTTGATATTTAAGTTGAAAACATGAACTGCTGTAACACAAATTTCAAATGTTCTAGATCAGGGGTGTCAAAGATGCGGCCTGCGGGCCGAATCCGGCCCGCAAGCGGGTTAAATCCGGCCCGCAAGATGGTTGTGTAAACTTTATTTTCATACTTTACAATGTAGAGTGAAAATAAACTTATCATTGTGAGCAAGTTTCCTCTGTAATGAGTATAAATAAAACAAAGCTGCGCTCAAGGCTCACACAAGAACTTGAATCACATCCTGAAGCTGGCCGCCACTCAGGATGTGACTTCTGATATTGATGTGCTGGTGAAAGCTAAAAGATGTAAAGTAAAATGAGTCGAATATACTTTAAGTGCTGCATGAAACTATCTTGCCATGTGATCTGTAAGCTCTTTGAATCACTAAGGAATGCTTTTTTTATTTGTTGATTTTTTTTCCTTTTTCAATTTTTCAAGTACACTTCAGGTGTTGTACTTGTACTACACTGTCCTCAGGCTGCAGCCTTGTTTTATATTGATTGTATTAAAACAAAGAAAACAATGTGAAGTTTTTTTTTAATTTACCGGTCCAGCCCACTTGGGACTAGATTTCCCTCAATGTGGCCCCTGAGCTAAAATGAGTTTGACACCCCTGTTCTAGATGAACACCTTTTGGGCCTGGTCCCTGGTGGTTTCCAGACATTATTTAGTTTACAGATCTTTTGCTGCACATGGAATGTTCTCATACGTGTTCTTGTCTAGTAAGCAGAGGTTTGCCTCCTGTAAAAATGGAGATGATCAGCTTCATCGTTGTCTTTCAGCACACTCCGTAAAGTCCTAAATAAAAAAAAGTGTTTTGTGGGAGAGGCTCATCTACTTTCTAAGGGTAACACTTTTAAACTCCTCTTAAACACACATTCAACTTGTTTGATTGACACACTCAACACACAAGACTGAAAGACTTTAAGACTTACTGCGCGTTTTTTTGCTGACAGTAATAGTTTGATACAAAATTAGAAATTATTATGAACCTGCTGTAACACATGAGTATACAAACTCCTAGATGAGTAGCTGATTTTAATCAGCAGGATTTAATTCATATAACAATTATTGTTCTGTGATTAGACAGCTTTTCTTTTAAAATACACAGACACCTCCCAAATGAAGAGAAAAAGGTTTACTGCCAGTGTTACACATATATAAAAGTAATTTTACAGTCTTACATTCTTACAACATCCTGCCAACTCTAAAGAAAACAAACAAAGAACATGTGAAAAGATATTTACAACTGATTTCCTCAAAATCCAAATATAAGCCTTTAATGCATTGACATCTGATGCAAATGCAGCCTAGGCTTTTCCAAAGCCAAGTGATCCTTTTAAGGCAGTGTGCATCAGCTCTTTAAATAGTTCCTCGTCTGCAACACCCCTTGGTAAGAACAGGCACAGGCTGCATGTAGATTCATATGGGATGCGGCGCTTCCCCACCTCCTGGTCATAAAAATTTATATTGCAGGACTGTGGGAATCCCAGTGGTGGCAAGCTGTCAGCACCGATTATGAAAACCAGCAACTCCTCAAATGTGTGTTCCACCTCTTGCTCTGTGAAAACACAAAAATGGTAAATGGCCTGTATTTGATATGCCTTCTACAGTCCTGGAACCTCCCAAGGAAATCTTACAACACAATCAGTAATTTACCCACCCACATACACATTCACACCCTGGTGGTGATTAGCTAAAATGTAGCCACAGCTGCTTTGGGTCGTGCTGACAAATCAAATTTTTATGATGTTAATTTTCATTATCATATTGAACTGCTTTGTAGTTATTAATTAGATGAATATCATTGGTCAACATGAGTGAAAAACAAAACAGATTCTTAATCATTTCAGAAATACACTAACTACTGTTTCAGAGTAGACAGGTTTGCTCTTAATGACAATTCTGGCATCACCTCTACAGGAACTACATTCACCAATTTTCAACGTGACGGCCATCTTTATAGTGGAACAATTTGGTTCCATAATACAGTGTTCTGTAAATAAATGTGTTCCTAAAAGTAGTGGCTTTAGGACACACACACATGCGCACACACACACAAACACAAAACTGTGTTTTGGTGTACACACCTTGAATGGCAAGAAGCCACCATTCCCACTAGAAAATAGTGGCTTCTTCGTCTTCTCGTTGGTTGCTTCCTGCAGGACTCCAGGTAATGGTGAAAAGATTCTGGAAGCAGTTCCATGTAAGTTTCTGTCCTGTATTTGTAAATACAGGAAGGAACTGCTTCCAGAATCTTTTCACCATATGCCAGAACCGACCACATGAGTCCATACCAGTAATGAACTGCTTGGATCATGCTGGCAACCCTGTTGATGACAGATTATGATGTCACTTAGTCAAATTTCACATTGCAAGTTGCTATTACCCTCCCTCTGTCCTAATGGGTGTGACCCCGGAAAGAAAGTTGACCATTGAGCAGGATTGATGGTTTATCCCTAGGGTCCACGTGGCAGGGGTGAGGTGGTGCTCACTCCTCACCCCTGCCACATGGACCCAAGGGATAAACCATCAATCCTGCTCAATGGTCAACTTTCCTCATGGGGTCACACCCATTAGGACAGTGGGAGGGTTAAATAAAAAAAATAAGCAGTCCTTTATAAAAAACCATCTTGAGTTAGCACAACAAAGACAACACTTCAGTAACTCACCATTGTTTCAGTGTTTACTAAACATGTGAATGTGTGTTGAAAAGAGCAGTCATTATCACTCAGGTTTTTTATTATTTCTCTAACAAGTTCTTACCGGTGAAAGACAAAATGAGCCACAATCTCGCTCTTTATCCGGGGCAGGTCCTGCAGCGTGGCGGTGTAAACATCAGGAATCCCACAGCCTGTGATCCAGTCCCCAAGGTGATCCTTCAGCTCTGCCAGGCCTTGTGGGGTGCTGCATTTCTCCACCTAGAAGAGCAAAAATACAGTTTTTGTTGAGGACTCGTACCACATAATTTTATTTACAATGCACTCATGAGAGAATTTATGCTATGATTCTGTTTTTCTAGAAAAAGCCAAGATGTCCAGATAACTTTACCTCTTCAAGGTTTTTTCGTAAGTCTTCATCTGTGAAGACTTCCAGCTCCACATCCTCTAGAGAGGTCTTCTGGCCACACATCATTAAAAACAGATGCTTGTTGATGCAGCGGGGGCCAGGTCCGTTGTGTGCCACAGACCAAGCCGTCAGTTTTCATGCTGTGTAAAATTTGTTACTTGCCAGCAGCTGCTGACTGTAGTTACAAAACAAATTCCCAGGCTTCCCCTCAAAAATCCCCAGAGAATTCTGCACTTCAATCATGACCAGTCTGCCAGGGAAAGAAAGATAAAATACTTCTCTTAGTTTGATTCACATATAGCTACTTCAGTGTTACTGCCACACAAACATAAATAAGATCACAACATGCCCTATAGGTTATAAATTGTAAGTCGCTTTGGATAATAGTGTCTGCTAAATAAATAAACATTAAAACATTAACATTAAAAATAAATAGTTGTATTCTAGAGACTAAACTAAACTCACCGAAAAAACTCCCGCCTTGGGCCACCATAGTCATCGGCCATCTCACCCACAAACTCAATATTTGGAACTTTGTTCCATGCAAAATAAGACTTGGACAACGCCACACAGGCACTCTGCAGGATGTATCTGCGTCGAACGATCACAACAGAAGTGTTGCTGCTGTCAGTTTTATCAGTTGGAGTGACCAGTGTGGCAAGGTCCAATTCATCCTGAATAAATAAAGACAACAGATCATGATTATATGATTTGCAGTATGCATGGCAGAAATCACAAGTTATGCTAGTTTTGTTCAATACACATACATTCTGGTCAGTTTGATCAGGGGAAGCCAGCACAGCCTCATCCATGTCAGACAACTCTGAGTCCACGTAGAACTCCTCTCTAAACAACACAGAACACACAAAAACTGATTTTGTTTATCAAAATTATTAATAATGAAACATAATTTTCTAATCACATTTAATAATATGATTTAACTACACACTAAAAACAGTTGGGTTAAAAATGACCCAATTTGGGCTGTTTTTTAACCCAGCCGCTGGAGCAATATTGCACCAGCCCAGCAGTAGTTAATTTAACCCAGCAAGATGGGTTCCTCCATTTTAACCCAGCAGATGAGTTAAATATTCCACCCAAATTCTGGGTCAAAATAGCCACAAATCTGGGTAAATTCAACCACACGTACATGTTATTTACTCTACCTAAATGCTGGGTCAAATTAACCACTATTTTGGGTTGTTTCAACTAAATATGTGTTATTTACTCTACCTAAATGCTGGGTCAAATTAATTAAACTATGGGTTGTTTAAACAACATAATGTTCAGTAATCAATCCAAATGTTTGGTCAATATGCCAAATTATTTCTAACTCATTACATACAGTGCATTTTGGAAGACAGAAAATTGCACCTATCCATACTCAACTATCAAAACATACATGCTAGACTTGGTCACGTAAAGCATATACAATACAATAAAACTTCAACAATACTGAAATCTTTACAAGGCACTGCCTTGAAATTTATTCATATAAATGTAAACAATATAAAAGTTCTAATCACTTCACATCAAGAACTGCAACAATGTACACTGAAATACATGTAACTCAGTGCTTAAAAAACAACATTTAAATGGTCAAGAGTACATTTTACAAATACCTATTTGCTTCTTTTGCTAGCACGTATTCTACTCTGCAGAAACTTTACTAGTTTCGACTCCCCTCCTGGGATTTCATAGACGGTGGTTTGCAGGAATTTCCAGACGTGTTCACACTGCCTCGGGTATTCCATGTCTAAAATAAAGAATGCCTTGAAGCAGGCATCGACGGCCTGAAGCAGTGTGTCATGTTCCACAACCTGACCAGCAATGATGACAAAGGCCTGAGACACATGCTGTGTTTCATTTCCCAATGTCAGCACATAGGGGAATGGTCTTGTGGCCTTGGCCTCGTGGAGGTATTCCACCATGTTAGTTCCAAGCTAAAAAACAGAGAAAGAAAGCATAACAACAAACAGGTGAGAAGGAATGCGTGAGTAAGGAACAAATGTCTACCAACGTCAACTGGGTGACAGTGGCACAGGAGTTAAGTGCTTGCCCCGTAATCGAAAGGTTGCGTGTTTAAGCCCCGCTCAGTTTGTCGCTGTCATTGTGTCCTTGGGCAAGACACTTAACCCCCCCCCCTTGCCTTTGTCAGTACGCACCAGGGCAGCTATGGCTACCCAGTGTGTGAATGTGCTTGTGAATGACTGTGCTGTAAAGTGCCTTGGGGGGTTCAGGGCTCTATAAGATGGTATATCAAATAAAGGTTATTTATCATTTAACTAGTACAGCAGAATAAAAAAAGACATTATGACAAGCATTTTCCTGGTCCTCACAAGAAATATTTAAAGAGCAAAATGCAGGTTAAAGACTCCCATGAACCAATGTTTAGAGAAATACAATAGAAACTCGTTCAAAATTTTTTTTACACATATATAATTTAGGCTTTTAGTCATTTTTGTGAGATTTTTTGTTTTGTTTTGCCAAACCACATGCTGTGTTTCATTTCCCAATGGGGGCGACGGTGGCACAGGAGTTAAGTGCTCGCCCCGTAATCGGAAGGTTGCTGGTTCGAGTCCCGCTCAGTCTGTCGCTGTCGTTGTGTCCTTGGGCAAGACACTTAACCCACGTTGCCTGCTGGTGGTGGTCGGAGGGACTGGTGGCGCCAGTGCTCGGCAGCCTCGCCTCTGTCAGTGCGCCCCAGGGCAGCTGTGGCTACATTGTAGCTCATCCCCACCAGTGTGTGAATGTGTGTGTGAATGGGTGAATGACTGATTGTGTTGTAAAGCGCCTTGGGGGGTTCTAGGACTCTAGAAAGCGCTATATCAAATACAGGCCATTTACCATTTACCATTTAATATCACTGTTATGGCCGATAACCGATATTTGCCGATACCAATATACTGACATTAATGCTTCTAAAATCAGACTTTGTATAGAATGAAAATTTTTAAAGCTGAATTTACGTTATGTACACACCACACACACATTTACAGTTCTGAGATGATTTCATTCACTGTTCACATGACTAAACAATCACACATCACCCCCCTCACCCTCTGAAACAGGCAAACAATGGAGACAAGATGGAAAAAATATCGGTTGTTAATATCGGCCCGGTTTTATTTATCGAACCGATATCGATATGTAAAAAAATGACTAACATCGGCCAATACCGATATTCATCCCCTGTTTAATCCGGAGAAAAATCTGGATTCTAATGCGGTTCTGACACATAGGAAACTTTAAACTCCTCCTTGAACCGTCACCTTATCGTGGTGGAGGAGTTTGAGTGCCCTAATGATCCTAGGAGCTATGTTGTCTGGGGCACTTAGTGCCCCTGGTAGGGTCTCCCATGACAAATTGGTCTTAGGTGAAGGGTGAGACAAAGAACGGTTCGAAGGATCTTTCATGGCGGTTAAAACGAAGAGACGGAGTACCCGGCCCGGAGGGTTACCGGGGTCCCACCCTGGAGCCAGGCCTGGGGTTGGGGCCCGTGAGCGAGCGCCTGGTGGCCGGGCTTTCGCCCATGGGGCCCGGCCGGGCCCAGCCCGAACCGGATACATGGGCTCGTCCAACTGTGGACCCACCACACGCAGGAGGAACATGAAGGGTCCGGTGCAATGCGAATCGGGTGGCAGACCAAGGCGGGAACCTTGGCGGTCCAATCCCCGGACAAGAAAACTAGTTTTTGGGACATGGAACGTCACCTCGCTGGCGGGGAAGGAGCCGGAGCTTGTGGCAGAGGTTGAGCGGTACCGGCTAGATATAGTCGGACTCACCTCGACACATTGCATTGGCTCTGGAACCCGAGAACTGGAGAGGGGTTGGACACTCTACTTTGCTGGAGTTGCTCCGGGTGAGAGGCGGAGGGCTGGGGTTGGCTTTTTGTTAGCCCCGAGACTCTCTGCCTGTGTGTTGGGGTTTACCCCGGGGGACAAGAGGGTAGCTTCCTTGCGCCTTCGGGTCGGGGAACGGGTCCTGACTGTTGTTTGTGCTTATGGGCCAAATATCAGTTCAGAGTACCCACCCTTTTTGGAGTCCCTGGGACGAGTGCTAGATAGTGCTCCATCAGGGGACTCCATTGTCCTGCTGGGGGACTTCAATGCTCACGTGGGCAATGACAGCTTGACCTGGAGGGGTGTGATTGGGAGGAACGGCCCACCTAATCTGAACTCGAGCGGTGTTTTGTTATTGGACTTCTGTGCAAGCCGCAGTTTGGCCATAACGAACACCATGTTCGAACATAAGGATGCCCACCGGTACACTTGGTACCAGGGCAGCCTAGGTCACAGGTCGATGATAGATTTTGTAGTCGTATCATCTGACCTGCGGCCGTAT